TGGTGCTCTAATCCAACATTGCCGTCCTCAGCCAGTTGAAAGTGGGCGTCGCCTGGTTGGTGTAAGCGAAGAAAGTTGTGCAATACACAACAAGCTATAACAACATTGACTTGAGTGGACATATAAAAATTTGGAACCGGTCCCTTCAAAAATTTAAATCTGTTCTTCAGAACTCCAAAGGTTCGTTCAATGACATTTCTAAGTTCCGAGTGGCGCGTATTAAATAAAATTTTTTCAGGCCCGGCCCGTGCTGCATTCTTATACGGCGGTAAGAAGCCTGGAACATTCTTATATGCAGCATCTACAAGGTAGTATTTACCTGAAATGACCAAAAAATGGAAAGTGTCAGTTTTATGATGGCAGTTTACCTTTTATGAAAACTTTATAGTACTATCTTTCGACCACATGCTGTACCACTAAAAAATATAATACCTTGTTTAAAATCCAGCTCATTTAAATAGAACAAACAAAGATTTGTAATTTAAAAAATTAGTGTCTTACTGAAACATCCGGAAATTTTAAAAAGTTTTAAAATTGTCTTTAAAAAATGCTATATTCGTAAGCAGTTGTTAATAGCACAAGCCAAAAAAATAAATCCACTATTTTATGGACTTATGTGTGACAAAGTGTTGTAAATGATTTATACACACCATCCAAAAAGTAGCATTTACTTAAATAGGTGCAGCAGATATAATGCAAGAGAGTTACCTTCAGGTGCCATTGGGAAGTCTGACGGGTGTGACAGAGCATCATCTAACACTCGGGCATCGTGTGCACTTCCCTCCCACCCAGCATATATGTACGTGAATCGCATATCGAAATCACATACTGCCAGTAGATTTTGCGACTGAAATCCATGTCGATTTGTATATGCCATTTGGTGACCTGAGGGCGGGCACGCCGGAATGTGAGTGCCATCAATTGCTCCCACTGCATCCTGCATTTTTATTGAAGATAAAATTTTAATTTCTCTCTTACAAATACGTTGTGAGTTTTGAGATGGAAGATCACTGTAGAAATTTGTCATTTTGGCTTTAGATCATTCACAGCCTAACCTTGAACCACGGGAAGTACTTTGTCGAATTCCCGATCCTTGGATGCACCTGATCGTAGTCAAAAGGGCGAATTATTTGTGAAGCAAACATACAAAGACCGCGCAGGACCTCCCTTACATTGCGGTTAATTGTCTCCGTTGATCTATTGAAACGCTCTGCCAAAACTCGTTGTCGGGCACTATGACTTACCATTACCAAAGCCATGGCCAGTGCCTCCTCGATTTCCACTCGTTTTTGATAGTTTTGGGGTACGTAATTATTGTACTTTAGTATGTCACAAAGTAGGAGGAAATTGTCAACCGAAATACGACAATTTTCGATAATTCGTTTGTAGTGACCATTGATCAACTCCTCAACCCATTGACGCCCTGTGAGTGAGCCATCATGGTGTGGAATTTTGAGTTTCGGACCTCCATACCTTTCTGCCTCCGGATGTAGAAGTATCAACTCAGCTGCAAGTCCAAGTAGCAAGGCATCCTGATGATCATCTGATGCTTCGTCATTGCTTGAACTACTATTTCGGGAGCGATTCATATCCCCTGGAGTAAATGCACAGCAAGCGAGTACATAGTTACACCAAGTGGGCAAACGTCCTTCGAATATTACAACAACGTAGTTAAGCAAGAACTGAACAAGGAACCTTTTATTTAAAAAAAATGATAGGCAGATACTTAAACCTTCTACTCACGGGGCGTTCTGTTATGTCGTTCGACGAATGGGAGCTTTGTCTTCTCACCAGAGTGCTTCTTGCTGCTTTCCCCCAACGTAGAGGATTGTAATATCTGATATGCTTAGACACGGGCTCTTGTTAACATATATAGACCAATAAAGACCTGCTATCTTTTCAAAGCACGGGCGCATTATTGTTCTTCTACTCGAGCCCTTGTTGACAAGATAGGCCTGTCGCAGAGAGAAATGCATGTTCGAACTTGTGGCTGTCGGTGTCATTCCTTTTGGACAATTCTTTCACATGCCACGCCTTACCAGATATGACCACTCCCACCAGGCTGCTTTTACTTTTTGCTGAGCTGCGAGGGCTCTGCAGCACCATAGGTAGTGAAATGAGTAATACTACAGTTTATAATCGTCTGGTTTGGTAAAAGAATATGCCAAATATGATGCTAATTTTTTCTTTTACAAGCAGCTCGCGTTTCTCAAATCCGCTATTGTTTCATTCACATAACCGTCCATTTAGCGAACAATCGATAACACATAACATGGTCCCACTTCCATTCTAGCTTCTTCGTCTGGATTAAAATTTCGGGCTGTGTTGTCTAATTTTAATATTGAATTAAGCATTTTAGAACGTACCATGGATGTAAAATTTCCTCGGACATTCGATAGGCTTTCAAGTAAAATATGTACTAACATCGCAAGTGCTTGGAGCAACATGGTTATGGAAGAAACAAAGGACAAGAAGAACTCGCCGTTTGCTGCTAAACTTCAGGAGACAGAAGATTGGTTGTATGAAGATGGGGAAGATGAAACAAAAGGTGTTTATATAGCAAAGCTTGAGGAACTCAAGAAGGTTGGCAAAGCTTTATCCGATCACTTGTTATGTCTTTCTTGGCATTGTAGTTGATGTTAGTCCGATGACATGTTTTGCCGTGCAGCAAGGTGACCCAATTGAGGAGCGTTACAAGGAATTTATGGAGAGAGGCTCTGTGATTGATCAACTTATTTATTGCATCGGTAGTTATAGACAACCAAGCCATGTCAAATGATCCTACGTTTGATCACATCGATATTTCAGAAAAGCAACAGGTGGGTATTTATCATCATGTAAATCGGCGTCTCCCTCACAATTGTTGGATTTTTATTTTCTAAGTCCATTCTTGTTTTTGTGCTTTTAGGTCTTAAACGAATGTGTGGAAGCAGAGGCTTGGTTGAGAGAGACCAAGCAACAGCAGGATGCGCTTCCCAAGTATGCTAATGCTGTTCTCCTGTTAGTTGATATCAGAAGGACAGCTGAAGCACTACACAGGTGGCAATTTTAGAGAGGTTTTGCTTGTTTTCTGGTGCACCATCAGACACTTTATCGATGTTAACATTGGGGGAGAGACCAATATTAAATCTTCCATATCATTTGTGAGGTTCACAACTTATTATGCTTTCTTATATTGATGGTGCAGAAGCTCAATGTTGATTTGGATTTTGGCAGGTTCGATACCATTCCGAAAAATGGTTGGTACGCCCCATACATAAATATAATTGTACAGGTTGTCGGCTTTTTTTTCCCAATGTGTATATATTCCTGACTCTCTATCGTGACTACATCACATAAATAGATCTTTTGTAGATTCGTAAAGATTCGACACTTGAGTGCTTTAACAAAAAAGACAAACTAATGTACATTGCCATTTTAAGTTAAAATATTTAGTGCTGTTCCAATTGAAGGTGTGGGACTTTTGGTGCAATTGTACGATATGTAGCCTTGAAATACCCTAAGATGGCATACACGTTCCATCAATGGTATTTGCAAGGAAGGGAGATTGGATGAAGCAATAAAGTTCTTGAGAAATATGCCATCATATGGTTGCCAACCTAATGTGAAAAAGCATAATATCATCTTGCGTAGCATGTGTAGTACAGGGAGGTGGATGGATGCTGCGAAACTCTTGACTGAGATGCTTAGAAAAGGCTGTTCTCCCAGCCTTGCTACCTTTAACATACTAATTAATTTCTTGTGCAGAAAGGGGTTACTGGGTCGAGCAATTGATGTTCTGGAAAGGATGCCTAAATATGGATGCACTCCAAATTCCTTGAGCTATAATCCTCTGCTTCATGGTTTCTGCAAAGAAAAAAAGATGGATAGGGCAATAGAGTATCTGGAGATAATATCTCGGGGTTGTTATCCTATAACACTCTGCTTACAGCATTGTGTAAAGATGGAAAGGCTGATGGATAGGGCAATGTTTTTGCCTTTTAATCATCCCAATCACTTAAATTTAAGTAGATTTCACTTGAACTCAACAAATTGGTGTAATAACAAAAGAGTACATAAACTAACTGTTATGATCATAAATAATAAGTAATCTGTATTGATTCGTATATTGATTAGTTATGCATATATATGTTTATTACTTAGGATGTTGATCATCTCTATTTTCCGATTTGTTTTGTTCTATGTTATGATGGAATGAAGGCTTGGCAATTATTTTTGTCATAGCAAGTGCTCTCTTTCAATACTTTCTTGTTTCTTTTTTTTTTCCTTTTCACTTTTTTCACCTCTTTTTTGTTATTTTGTTCTTTAATTTAGCCTTGATCTATTGGAAAGGGGGTTTCAGAGTTGGTTTAGATTTCATCCTTGAAGGAGGAATAATGGAATATATATATGTACAAGACAATTTACAAAAAGTGATACTATCAAATTCCTCATATTTTGCCACTTAGAAATTTTACTTTTATAAGCATTGTACCTTACCGCAGAAAAGAAAAAGTTAATTAAGTGACTCAAGCATCTTAAAAATTTGTCGATTACTTTCTCTAATGTATCCAACTATCAAAACCTGGTGAAAGAAGGTTTAATTTGGCTCGAAGATTGCTTCGCAGTCATCATTTTAGCTTAATTTGCATGCAACAAAAAATGAGAGAGGTTCTTCGATTCCTTTTGCTGTATTGATGATGAGATAATTAAGAACTCGCATGGTTCTTCTAAAAATGCAGGTCATCTTGTACTTTTTAAAGATTCTTATCAGCGTGAACTTACATACTTTCTGTCCCATCCGGATCCTCAAATTGCAGTAAATTATTACTCTGCAAAATTGATGTTTTAGGGTATTTAAGTAGCAAAATTTTTTCAATAAATTTCAATACATGCAGGAATTAGAGATTTTGATTCAAATCCCTTACCCCTATTAGCACCAAAAAAAAAAAAAAAGCAACTCAACATACACTCATTCAAGAAAGTACACTCAATTGTTTTTAACAAATGCTACATCTCAAGACACAAGTCTAGGAAGAAAAGTCCACAACACACAATAAAGAAGCAACCGATACAGAAGCTAGGTAAAGTTCAGCCACCATTCTAGAAATTTGTCTAATTTAACAAAGCAAATTGACACAAGCAGACAAAGAAAATTGACAGAAGCCGTTGTGCACAGGTATGATGCGCTTCACTGTGGGGGCTTGCCATAGCGAAGCTCCTCCATAATGAGTTCAATGTAATCATAGCGCTCGGCGTCATCAAAGCGTACGAATGCACATCTTTGTCCCACATTTCTTCTTTCGGCAAAGTACATTGTCGCTTTCAGCTTAACCGATTTTGGAAGTTGCATATTTTTCACCATGTCTTGAACTACCGGTACACTGTATTCTGCTTCCTCTTCATACCGACTTTGATTAAACTCATGCGAAGCGGTGGTGACGCGAGAGATTTTGCTGATTGCATCATCTAGTTTTTCCCTATCACTAGATGATTTTGTTGATTTAGCACCTCTAGATCCCTCACGATCTCCGAGAGTGCCAAGACTTGAGGCAGGACGCTTTCCAGATGACGCTCCAGGTACCGGAGGTATGTAGTATACGTCCTCTCCCTCCCAAGGGTACTGTTGGTAGTCAGAGGCAGCTGAACTTGAGGCTGCAGCCTTTCCTTTGCTCTTTTGTGGCTTTTGAACAACTGGCCGTCGGTGTTCGCCCTCGGGGACAGGTTGCTTTGCAGATTGTGCATAGCTGCCTGTTGCAGTTTTTCCCAATGTTGTTGGAGTATACAGATCATATAGGAAGCAACTTCCAGCCAATTTGAAATCTTTGTACTCTTTGTTCACCTAGACAATACAAAACAAAAAAGTTAGTTCTCCACCAACGGCCAAATTAATGAGAAGTGGGAGGAATGTACGTCCATGTAATATGATAGAAGCGGTCTCAAATCAATATGCTTATGTAAAAAAAAATAGCAACGATACAACACACTCTGAAACTAAGATGATTAAGGCAGCAAACCTGGTTTGATTATTAACTGGCATCATCTAAAAATTAATTTAGTGTTTTTGGTATACACTTCGGCTCAAGACTAGTCTGCATATCTATTAGTTTGGCAAACAAGTTGGGCACAAAGACAAATAAAAAGAAAGGATAAGCAGCAGGTATTTCCATAGTCGCTTACCGCTTCCATTTGGGCCCAGTGCTCGTCGGAAGCCGTAAAGCAGTTATTCTCTTCATCCCAGCCAATCCCAGTCTCCGTTTTCGATGACAAACCACGAAGATTGGCAAACACGTTCCACTTCTTCCTAAACCTATACATTCTTGATTGGCATTGGCCTCCGGTGACCTGCATCTCAAATTGTTCCCGCAAACATGTGGCAAGCATATCATAATTCTGGTCATTTGTCTTGTGATTGTCCCATTTCTTCGTTTGTTTCCACTCAACATAGGTGGTGATGAAGTTGAAGTCCATGGTAGAAGTCCACTGCAATTTCTCGTTCATCTGCTACATATAAGAGCACAAATTTTGCCATTAAAAGTTAAAACATGGCAGGTAAATGTGACAGATTCTGCCCCAAAAATTAGTAAATAGAATAGTAGTAGTGTTAAGGGCAAAAGTGGTTTACATGCTGATTGTAGTTCTCCATACACAGTTGATAGTTATTTGAAGCGATGGATGACCTGGAAGACTCAAAGGATGTGCAGCTAGTAGGAGAGGCTACAAATTACACAATTGATTTCAGTTATACACCATGAACGAATATATGATACTTATAAAGGTTAGAGGGACTTACAATGGGAGTCAATTTTTTGTTTAGCTGCGGTCATTGGCTGAATCAGCAATGCATTGAGCCAATCGAACACATAACAACTCAAATTGCAATACCTAAATCCAAAAAAGGTGCAGCAGATGTCAATTTTGTTTACTTTTACTACATCGCCTACTTTCTCCCAAAGGAAACACCAAATATCCGTGCAAGCTAAAGAACGAATACAGCGAAGGAAATTAATTTTCATAAGCAAATTTTTGCATTTTTCGTACACACAAATGAATGAATACATTTTAACAGATGCTACACAGTCTCATTTCTAAGCAACCAAAACAGTAACTTAGTGTCTCTTCAATTTCAATTAACTGTTAAGCAATTTTAGCTTCAATGACCTGGAACAAATATCTGTGAAGAAATTGCAGTGGACATATACATTTCAATGACCGTTCCATCTGGGTACATATACATTTCCAGCTCCTATGGATCTAATATATCAATCTTTCAAGTCTCTTAATTTCTGTTAATAATCGTTCCCTGGCTGCATTATCATAAAGATGACCTCTTTGTTCACCCATGCCTATCACATCCATTTACAGGATAAATAAATATGGTACAAGATAAATAATCGGACACCCATGCTACCATAGAGTAGCGTGCAATTTATAAACTCTCTATTACACAACCAAGCAATCTTGAGCCACATTAAGTAAAAAACGGTGTAGCAGTATACAAAAAAATAAAAAAAAAATCCGCCACAATTCTAGATAGAATTTACTATCTAGCCTCTCCATTCTGTTAGGAAAAAACTGAACATAATAAACTGCAGGCACTCCCATTGATGTGTAACATATACCACTGCCAATCAAAATCCTAATACCACCATATGTTATTTAACAGGTAACTGTTCTAAAGCAGACATTCTAACATGGGGAACTACTACTGAAACAGCCAATGGTACTGAAATAAATTATTAGTTTTATCCACAAAATATGGGATAAGATTCTATCCAGTTGATTCAACTAATTTGTTTATCTGGCAGCCAAAACACAAAAGTAAGTACGGATATGCCTTACTTCGGTTAATTTTTCTGTCCTTCTGGAAAACGAAATAATGCACTACAATGTGAAATCCGTTGATATGTAATTGTTGGTTAATTGCTTTGCATAACAATTATGAATACCAGATCTTTTGTTATGCACCAATTATTTTTGTTGCTAACTGATGAACTTTAGAGAAATCTTTCAAACTCTAGTACCAGGATCCACATTCAAACAAGTTAAACAATTCAAAAAGCATCCAGAATCTTTAAGGCATCAACAATAAACGGGTCATAAATGACCAAATTAATACAACTACACTGCATAAATAGATCCGCCACTGTTTGGATCTAAAAAAAGGTTTTTGGGTCTATAAATCAGCAGAACATCAGGCCATAACAACACGTCTCCCATTGCAAATCTGGGTCGTTGCACACTGATCAGTTTCGAAGAGTAATTTCCCAGACCCGCTAAAATTAGAGGTCACCACACGCACTCACTATAGAAAAGGAAGGCTTCTTCACCCGCGCAGAAAATAAAAGTGAAGGATTGAGGAAATACCTTGGATTTTGCTGGAATTTGTCTGCCAAAACCTTTTTTTCGTTCGCTGAATTAGCAAATCATCCACCGATGAAGGCTCAAGATTTGCATACTGATCAGTGCTTTGCCTTGAATTGAAGAAATCAACTCTTCATCCTCTACCATGCGCTTGCCGACGGCTGCGAAAGGTACTTCAGATTCTCCCAGCTTTCGATGGCTATGGATATTTGGTGGAGAGGGCTGGACTTCAATTCAGTGTTGTAAATGCTCAGCATGTCGGGTGGTTGATTCAGAAAGAGTAAAGCGCCCTGCAGCTTTGTGTCATTTGCACTGTGGGACAACGTGCATACACAAACGGACAAAAATAACGGGAAGTAATCTTCAGCCGTTCATCCATTTGGTAAATTGAGGTAAAGTAGTAAGTAAATGCTTACGTGGCAAGACTTGGGAAAAAAATCAGGTGCAAATACATTTGCTGGATTATTTAACCTGTCCAAACATCCTAGTGCGCATTATTAGTAATTTATTCAGATTAGAGCAATCCAAACGCACTCAATAATTGTTCTCAACTTGTTATGCAATTCTTTTTTCAGGCTTGAGTCCTCACCTACATTAGTTCACAATTTTGAGCACGAGTTAAAGATTAAGTAAATAAACAATGCGACTGACAGGTATTCAATAAACACTCGTTAATAGGGGTTTTAGATATTAATTTTTTGAAAAAAAATGTCATTAATTTAGAAAAATAACTAAATGTGGCAGATGTAATAATCATAATTATGTGTATTTACGTGATAAGTTGAATCCAATTTAAATGTATTGAGGCACTTATTAGAAAATTTTAGAAAAATTTGTTCAAAACGGCATTCGTATTTTGTCAAATGAATTTTTAAATCCTTCATTTTTTAAATGTTAACTTTATGTCTTGTAAGTTAACAAAGTTTAATCCCGATCTAAAATTTTCGCCATTTTTTATTTTGAAATCACTACTGATCCATATGCTATCATTTTTTTATATTTAAAAATAAAATGTCAGATCTCATCTTTTTAGTGGCGAAATTTGAATATATATTGGGTTATATCTCACTTTTTTAGAGCATAAAATGAATATAATTTAGGTTATATCTTATTTTTTATGAACAAAAATGAATATGAATTAGACCATTTATTTTATTGTAAATGGGATCTAATCTTTTTTACCCTAAAAACTGACCATATACAGGCCACATGATGAATTAGAGTCAAATGTAATTGAAAACTTCAATTGGACCAAATTTTGTCGAATTGAGTTTGTAAGAGAGGTAATATCGCAATTTTAAAAATAAAGACAACAAAAATTCATTTAACAAAATATAAGTGATATTTTAAACAATTTTTTCCAAATTTTTATAAATAAAAAAGATACAGTTTAGAGTTTTCCATTCCGTTGGGTCATGTACCTTACCAGGTTGAGGGCATCAATGACTCTTTTAATTTCATGCAAAAATAGACATTGGCACAAAACAAAGCAACCATAGTAAGCAATCAACGAGGTAATTGCAGTATGTAGGAATTAGCCAGGTGCATTTAGAGTCAAGAATCTTGAACTTCTCTTTCTTTCTTTTTTTTCAACAAGTTGACAAATAACTCTAGAAATAATTTCCTTAGGTCAGGATGCCCTGAAAATCCAACTAAGAGAAAAATACTACCTATTGGGAGGTACACAATACATTTTGGGTATACACTATACATACATGTATGTATGTATGCAGCCTTGCACAAAAAGTGGCAAAGGAAAAAAACAACTTCCAATTCCCATATTAAAAAAGAAGAAATAATTGTATTTTTTGGTATCAAATGTTACAATCTCTAAGCACGTTTAGTTATATTGACTAATTTTCACCAATTGCTACCAGAATTTGATCACATGCTGTTACATTTCAGCAACTAATTTTTTTTTTTAAAGAATATTATTGGCCATATTTATAGTAAATTATTCGCATACTGATCATATGAGTAATTAGTCTTTAACCCATAAATACAAAAATTTGGTTAACAAATAAAAAAGTTAAAAACTAATTACTCACGTGATAAACATACGTGTAATTAGTCATTTTTTTATTATAGGTTATGGATAGTAGGAGTAATACTTCGTCATTTTTTAAAAAATTTTCAAAAAGTATTAATTGCTAGTATGTGAGCTAATCCCGGTAATAATTGGTAAAAATCAAGCATTAGGACAGAACGTGCATGGAAACGACAAATATTCGGAACTACATTTGCTTTCATATAAATTTTAGGGACTAAAAGCGCTTCTGTCCCCAACATTACACGCATGAATAACTAAGAAGACGTATAAAACGGGCAAGAGTTCATATGCATTTACTGCTTCAGTTCAGAGGCACAAAAGAAAAAATGAATGAATACGTGAATTCATAAGAAAACAAGGAATAGTTTTTGAAACCACAACAACCAAACGATTGAATACAGTGACTCAAAGAACAAGATAGAAAATTGAGTAAAGCGCGACATAGGGTTCGATAGCTATGCAAGTGTATGGTACAAATCCATAATTTTAGAAACCACTGCAAACTAACAATTGTAGAAGCCTCGAATCTTATGTATAAGGATATCTCATCAAATAGCCTAGCAATTCATTCAAAAGAAAAAAGAAAAAAGAAAAGAAAAGGAGTAAAATTGTAAGTAAATATTTATCAAAAATAGTCACTAAACTTTTGGTTACTAAACTTTTGATTCAACTAGAATAGTTATCTAAGTAATAAAAAAGTGTAATTTTTTTATCACTCAACTAATATAAAGTTATATATTTTAGTCACTCAGCTAATAAAAAGTAATAGTACTTTTTAGTCACTCAACTAATCAACATGCACGTTTTCAGTCCCAAAATGTAATTGGTTTAATGTTATATATTTTAATTGATTCAATGACCACTTTGGGTAAAATAAATTGTTTACTGCCCAAAGTAGATAACTCTAAATAGTTGAGTGATAAATTATGCCACTTGCTCTTTGTAAGTAGAACATGACAAAACGGGTAAGTTCCATCGAAAAATTGTCAAATGGAATTTCCTTTTTGTTTTCCGGATTCTTTCGAACCAAAACAATTAACAAAATTCTTGAGTCAAAAAAATTTTTAACGAAATTCTTGAATTGGTCACGTGCATTGAATCAGAAAAAATTTTAAGGGAATTGCACATGCACTCATGGCACACGTCGGTACACTGAAATAATGCGAAAATTAATCTAATGACATTGACTAAAAGGGAATCCTCTTTGGGCGTTTCGAATGCATGATAATTTTCTTTTTTTTTGAACATATAAAATGATTGAGAACAAACAATTGGTGAAAGATTCAAGTTTACAAGATGAATGAAAAGTTAAAAAAGCATGCAACCATGCTAAGTAATAACTAAATAAATAGTTGTTGATTAGATAGACAGACAACTTTCTTAACTAACAAGGCTTTGTGTGGATTGCCTTTTTTTCATAAATTATGTATACTTTTGTAAACATATTTTTTAATCAATTTTTCACGTCACTTATATTATATTATTATCATATATTTTTTGACAAAAATTTTAGAAAATAGCAACCTAAATGGGCTCTTAGTATCTAAAGAAGCATCGCTCACGAACAAATATCTATGCGTGCATGTCAATGGAATCCATTTTGTATTCATGAAAGGTGGCCGTCCAAGACATGGGAGAAGCCAAACACAATACATTCACAACAGACAATGCTTCAAGTACAACCTATTGCACCCATTCAACAAACATGTTTGGATTCCACTTGGATTTCTCAATTTTTGAAAAAATAAAATTTTCATATACAATATTATAATAATATACAAACAAAAACAACTTAAAAAAAATCACATTCATACAATATATAAAAAACAATTCTAAATATACAAAAAAAAAAAAACACACTACCACTATCATCAACCACACAAAACATAACACCACCCATCGCACATTCTCGCACTCCCATCCCTCCTACTCCTTCCTCTTTCCCCTTCTTCCTCCTTCATTTCCCTTTCTCTTCCTTCTTCTTCCTCTCCACGTGCCTCCCACTACCCCGCTCCCTCTCTCTGGTCGCGGGCCATGGCGACCAATTTTTGGTTGTGACTCACGACTAGATTTGGGCTGGCGACCCATAACCAAAGAGTGGGGGAGGGGGGTGAGGTAGTGATGGATTGTTGTAAAATTTTATAAAATTTTAAATTTTAAAAATATCTCAAAAAATATTTTTAAAAATACCCCAAAACACTATTAAAAGTATGATTACGGTAAAAGTTTTTCACTTATATTACTATAGTAAAATATTTTAAAAATACCCAAAAAAATAGTTAGCCCAAATTTAGCCTTAGATTTTTTTTTTGTTGCAGAAATAGGTATATGAGTGTATAAGCGCGTGTGTGTTAAGTCTCAAAAGTAAAAGAAAAATATGGTTCGATCACATCCATCAGATGAAGAATTTATACAAGCAATAAACGTAGAGAGTGCTAATATGTTTGTTACACGTCACCTAAATAAGCGGATTTATTGAAAGCACTATAGCACCCCTAGTCAAATAATGAACCTTTCAATTAACAGATGTAAATTAGGGGTGCTAAAGTCTTTTCATAAAAAAATTATAAAATAAAAAATCAATTGCATTTTAATGGACTTAAATAATAAGCCAAAATTGAATAAAAGGTACAAAACTATTGAGGTTGATAGTTTAGTTTGGGGGGGAGGGGGGAGTGTGGATCGGTGAAAATTTAAAATGTTAGGCCTGTAATTCCATGGAATTTTTTTTCTAGAATATCATCTTAACACATTTTGTTAACAATTTTTTTTTTTGTGTTGCTTAGGTCGTATTTCAAAAAAAAAAAATAAAATTACACCGTTATTTTTGTAAATAAATACAAACAAAAAAGTGTGCACAACACAATTATCCCCATTCCGTTGTTGAATGGTAGATGCAAAATGAATAAGACATTATGGCAACCAAATTGAGCAGCTCATCGTTGACTTCTGCGCGTCCATTGTTTATGATTTTGAGATCCTCAGTTCGAAACTGCACGAGAGTTGAG